TTAAGCTGGTCTAATCTACCGGAGTAGCTCTCAGATGCTGCCACCATCTCTGCAAAAATAACATTGCATGCCAGAGAAATCCACTCACTGATCTTAAAGGACAGAATGATTCACATGGGAATAGATGATCCTTTAAGTAACCAAATTCCAAACTATTCAGTATTTTAAGAGAAAAAAAAATACCATATTAAATTGCAGTCTGAAACAAATTGATAGTTCCTGCATCTGATAAGTGGGTATACGATATGCTTCTAGTGTTTGTTTCCAATCTAAAGACAGGCAACAACAGAGTGTATTACAGGTAGTCCCTGGGTTAAGAATGCCTGGTTTAAGAACGACCCATAGTTAAGAACAGAGCCTATTGTAGCAAAATTTGAGTTAAATACACAATGATCCAAGTTAAATACATAATGGTTCGAGTTAATTACACAATACTACTTATGCAGTATTGGTTCAAGTTCATTACACAAAACTACTCATACAGTATTATACAATAATACTGTTCCAGCTTGCATACAAATTTGACTTAAGGACAGACCTTGGGAATGGAACTCGTCCTTAAACTGGGGACTTTCTGTACAAGTAATCCAGTCAAGATACATCTAATGCATTTAGGACCATTTTCAGGTCTGTCTAACAGGTTAGTTGGTGCATTAGCTGGAGCTAAGCAAAAGCCCTTAGATTGTATGTGTATATGTTTAAATTAAGGTTTTGTTTTGTTTAAACCGCACAGATACTGAAATCTTTAAAACACAAGGCTGGAAGTGTGCTTTTCAAATGGATTCTTGAGAAGACGTTCCATTTAGAATTGCTTAATTTTATGCATCAGTTGTGTTTAATAATTGCACTTGCTGCACTACAGACTATATAAAGTGTGAGAGAAGGCAAATGTCTTCCCTTGGTCTCCTGTTTGGGCAACTGTTTATACAGTGTAGTTCCTTGGCAGATGTTTTCCGAACATGTCTTGAGTATTGCCATAAATACCATTATGCTAAAATGATCTCTTTGTCCCAGCATGTGGAGTAAAAAATGTGTTTATTTTGTTTGTAGGTTTGGGCTGAGCAACAAATTTGAAGCAGAGTTTCCTTCATCATTGACAGGAAAAGTAAGTATCCTGGAAGAAAATAAGTTAATAAAACTCTTGACACATTACCATGCATTCAATTTGATGTTGCTTCTACAGCAGGAAAATGATTTCTTAATGCAAATTCAAGCATTAGAAATATATTTACCGTCCTGCTTTCTGGGTTCATTCTTAAAGGTTGCACCTGAAGAGTTTAAAGCCAGCATCAGCCGAGTGAACAGCTGTCTTAAGAAGAATCTTCCAGTTAATGTCCGGTGGTTACTCTGCGGCTGCCTTTGCTGCTGTTGTACCTTAGGCTGTAGTATGTGGCCTGTGATTTGCCTCAGTAAAAGAGTAAGTTAGACCCCACTTATTACCATAAATGCCCTAGACCATGTGATTGCCTTAAGGACTGGGTGGTCATGAGCAACTCTGTAGGGGTGGGGGTGGGGGGCAGGTATTTAAGCCCTAATCAGCCTTGCACAGGCAGAGTGCAAGCACTGTAAAAATGTGTGCCTGGCTTTGCTCCATACTCTGCCTGCCCACACTCCAGTGAGCAGCTGCAGTACCACTACATTTGATATAGTTTAAAATCTAATTATTAAAAGTAAGTAGTATACTTACTTCTTGACTAATTTTGCTGTAAAATTTTTAGTTTTATTGGGGGAGGGTTCACACATTTGCATTTAGCATTTTAGGGGGGTGCAGTTTGAGAATCCTTGTCCTAATGAGTTGTAATTTAATCTCTGCCTCTTGTTATTAGTATCTTCTGCACTTTTTACCCCTTGCAGGGCAATTTTCTAAGTGAAAATAAAGTAGAATAACTGTTATTTGCTTAATACTATATTTGGTTAATATTTCTGAGGCCGAAATCCAAGGTAGTGACAAGAAAAGAGACCTGTACCTTTAAATCCCCCTTCCAAAAAGAGTACTGTACTTCAGAGTTACTTCAATATGATTTTGTAACATATAGTATCTAGTGTGGTCTAAGCCTTGCCATCTCTTCTATGGTGAACTGCAAGAATATTGTGATGTACACCATTTTCCTGAGTTGTAGTCTAATATTAATAATTAATTGCTAGTAATTATACTCAGGATCCAGTAAAGTTTCCCTGCCACCATTTCCTGTTTACCAGATTTTTCTAGCCACATGGAAAGCACTGTTGTTCTTAAGGTAACCAGGAACATTAATCAGAATTAAGGTTATAATGTAGTAGGGTAGTTTGCAGGATCAGATTCTCTAAAACAGGCATAAGCAAACTTTTGAGGTCCAAGTGTATGTGAGATATTAGCTCAGATCTTCAGTGGTACATCTAAGCATATTCATGCTCATACAGTCTCACTCCCTTGTGCACATATAAACACAAACACTCAAATAGATATATAAACTCTCCTTTATCCATATAACAAGATGACAGATAGTCCTTGACTTATGGCTATTTGCTTAACGACCATTTGAAGTTATGACAGCACTTAAAAAGTTTACTTATGACCAGTCCTTGCACTTGTCCCCCGCAGTCACATGATCAAAATTCAGGTGCTGGCAACCATCATGTATTTACGATGGTTCCAGCATCCTGGAATCACGTGATCACCATTTGCGACCTTCCCAGGGGGCTTCCAACAAGTGAAGTCAATGGGGGAAGCTGGATTTGCTTAATGACTGCAGTGATTTACTTAATGGCAGCAGCAAAAAAGGTTGTAAAATTGGTTGCGGTGACTCACTCAACTACCACATTGCTTAGCAATGAAAGTTCTGGTCCCAATTGTGGCCGTAAGTCAAGAACTGCCTGTACTCTGTTCTCTATGAACAGATGCACACATACATATACACTTCCCATTACATATAGCTAGGCACACATACATTTTTGTCACGTAGCACTAAAATTGCTTTACTGTGCAATTACTGGCAAGGCAGTTTTGAGTACTGTCCTCCAGAAGTTCTGGCTGTTTTGATGGTGCCCTTCCTTTAGTTGTCTTCTGCTGTCCAGATTATGCTCTCACTGCTTAGCTCTCAGTGAGGTCCAGTGACTGCTACTACTGTGCCCTCTGCTGCATCATCTATGTTTTTTCTCCTTTACCACTGCCACATCTTTCTCAGTGGTGGTTGTACTAACTAAAAGTACATAATCTGACTAATCCAGTTCATGTAGAAAAAGCCCCACATGCATTATTTCTCAGAATATGTGTCAGGCAGCTGGCATCAGATGTCCCCTCGAGCTATCATTATTATTGGTTGCTGTTTCCGTTGGTCAATATATTCTCTGTGACTGTCAGCAAGGAAGGACCTCTCTTCTGATGGACAATTCCTCAGGCTGTGAAACCCGTCGTTGTCAGATCATCCTGTTACAATTAAATAAGACCATCTTTTCAGAGGTGTAAAATTTAGTTATTTTTATCATTTGTTATTATAGAAATAATTCACATAGTGCAAAATATGCTACCTAAAATTTGCAGCACTTAATGTGCTGAAGTTATATTTTCTCAAATTAAGCTTCCTCGGTGTTTCCTTGTGCCTTGTCCCATTTTACCATAAGGTAGTCGGGTTTTTAATGTTCAGAACATACTTCTGGATTCTTGATTCATTGTTGATGACAAATATGTCAAGTTGTGGGAGACAGGGAAGAGGTTGAGAACATTGCAGACTAAATGCTTGAAAGTACTTCCAGTGGCGTAGTAGATATTTCTCATTTCTCCTCCCCACACACCCACCACATCTATTTTGGAGGATCCCCTAATTCATTGGTTTGCCTACTAGTTCATCTACTGAACTAAAAAAATCTAGACTAAATTAATGCAGAACATTTCTTTGTTATAAAGTGTAGTAAATTGTGTATTGTGCTTGTTCTTGTAATTGATAGCACTGGTTATAAATACAACACTTTAAGGCTAAGTTCCATTTTATGTTAAAATTATTAATTTAAAATAATATAAAAGTCCATGGGATTTTAAATTTTTTAAAGAAAATTATTTCCTAAAAATATTAGAAAGAGGGAAAAACTTTTTTCCCTCTTTCAGTACAGCTCATGGAAAGAGTGCCATGATCACCATTCTGAGGAATAATTTTGACTCCAATTGAAAAGGCACAGCAGGAGTTGCTGCTTCAAACATCTCCAGAAGGGTCCTGCCTTTAATTTAGAAAATGAATAAGAAAATAGTCAAAAAGTCTTCCTAGCACATGTTATTATTTTTAAGTCTATAAGGAAGCCTTTCTCCCCAATTTAGTTAAAACTGCAAGAGTTTTGAGAGATACAGAATGAGGGGTTTCTATGTCCAGTATTTTCTGATAGAGAAATAGTTCAGATGTATAAAAACAAAACTACAGTACACATATAGTTACTCCCATCATCAGTAAAAGTGTTCTGCAATTTTATAGATTGGGCTTATCTTCACATGCCGATGCTTTCCCTTAGTCTTTCAGGCCCAGATTCAGATTTGAAGGATGTAGTGCTTTAGACCATTAAAGTTGCCCTAAATTGACAGCTTAAAACAATTATTTTTATTTAAGAATCATCTTCAAGATAGAATTACATTTAAACCAGCTCTTAAAATTTTTATTGTTTAGATTTTTTAATTTTTTACTGGTTCATTAAGCTTTTCTGAGTAATAGAAAAATTTTAAAGAGGAAGAAGCTGCAGTCCATTGTACAGAAACCTAGGAGTTACTTCCATTGAATGCACTGAATTTACCCCTCAGTAAACCTGCATAGGATAAAGTGGCTTCAGTGTTGTGACACACTGTAGTCCTTTTATTTATTTAAGAACTGTCTTTCCAATTTGGCTGAAGTGGCTTACATAAATAATCATACCTTATCCCTGAATAAGAAGCATTAACCTGGCTAAATACTGGTTTTAAAGAAAAACATACATGACAGTGTTCAAAATCTTTCTAATAAGGTCTCTTCCCCTTCACTTGAGTTTTGTGTTACCAAATGTTCTTAGAATGTTTTCTGTATGCCTGTGATTGAAAATCTATAGGGTTCTCATCCCAGTGTTGCACTCAAATCAAGAGCCCCTCTTGGGCTGTGAATGTCCTCACCTGCCCCTCACTGTAAATCACTGAGCTGTCAAGTACCATGATTAATTAAGCTGCACATGCAAGTCTCTTTTTTTCACCTGTCAAATAGAGGAAAGGAAGCTTGGTTAAGATGCTTTTTAAGTCACCTTTTCTTCCTCCGCCTGAGAGGTACTTGCTAATGTTTCATTTAAATGTTCATTCACCTTTTGTTTGGCGGCCAGGCGCTGAGTATTGACTGAGCAGATTTAAATGAAATGATTTACAAAAATGGAATGTTTTTATAGAGAGGAACATCAGTGCTATCTACTTGAACCTTAGGATGGGATAAATTGACATAAAAGTATAAAAACAAAGTTTGTTTTCTATATACATACTGCTTGTTTAATGTTAACTATTTAGGGTTTTTTTAAAAAATGGGCTTATGTGTTTCTTTACAATCAGGATGCTGTTCAATTTATGCTTAAGACTTCCTCCACATAAGAGTAACAGTAATTAAATGTTAAATTTGTTTCTTTGAAATATACAGAAGGCCCCTTCAGAGTGTTGTATTGAGTCTTCCGTATTCAGTTTCCTATTTATAATGTAAAGTGTTTAATTGTACTAGTATTTGGGAAGCTGGTTTCTTTGCCATCTTTTCTCCTTCCCCTCCATGCAAGCAATGAAATTTAAATTGTACAGCAGTCGTAATCTATTCTTTAAAAGGCTCTGGCAAGAAAGATTACAAGGTAGCTTCACATTTTTGAATCGGTTTTGCCATTGGTTTAGCAGCGGGTGGGCAGGCAGATGCCTGCTCGGAGTAGAACCTATTGCCATTTTTCACCATTGATAGAGTAGCCTTTCAGAGTCAATGAGCTCTGTCAATGTGAGCTTGTCAAGGCTACAACTTCATAGACCTGAGAGGCGGTTTGAGAGGTCAGCCCTTTTCAGGTTTGCTGTGATGCAAATGAGCTTTAATGCTTAAACAACTATTGGAATTTTTATGTCTGCTCCTTGTTCTTTTTTCTTCACAAAGTCATTGACGAGACATTCAGTGCTTTTTAAATTGGAAGTTGCATTGTGCTAAAGACCTAGTACAGATTTACTGAGGGCTGAAAGCAGTTAGATCATGTTCTTTTCATGGTGCGATTAGAATCAAATCGATTTCCCTACAGCCTTCAGCATTCAGATGGCAATTTTAACAAAGCTTAGGGGGCTAGACAAGGGACAAAACGACTGAACTGAATGTTAATTACACTCTGCAGCCTTATTTTCTTTTGATTTGGAGCTGACTGGCAACTAAATTAACAAAAGTGTGACCATAACTGCTGCCCTATTTTCATTTAAAAGGAGTGCAGACTCTAAAAGGCCATCTTTACAAAGAAACAAGAGAGGTCTGCTGATCATTGTTAGAGGGCAGGCACTGTCTTTCATAAAATAAAATAAAAAGTATTAGCCAAAAGTAACAGAACTTCAAAAACTACAATGCGGTAATTTAGTTGCTGCTATTAAAAGGTGACTCAGAGTTCTTGGAATCCCTTCTTTTTAGGAAGAAGACATCACAAAAACTTATAATTCATGCACAATAGTTGATTCTTCCACGTAGGCACAGCTGAAGTTTATGCTTTTATGTTGGTTGGAAATGCCCAGAATCTCTCTTTTCTCTTTATGTTAGCACATATATATTTCTGTGTGTATATATCCACTCATAAGTGAATGTGTATATGTGTGTATATATCAATATACATACTATATTTTGCTTTTTGAGTACAGTCAGTATATTTGGGGAACAAGTTTAAATAAATATTTTAAAAACCTTGGTGGACCAGGATGCAGTTTGTAACACCTCTTGTTTAGCTTCAGTTGAAGTGCAAGATGCTTTCCACCCCCCTTCTCCCTCTCCTGCCGCCTCTTTCTCTCTGCCTTATAAGGAAACTGCAGCTGTACAAAGTTGAATTTGCCACAAGGCTCAGTGATCCATGCCTTTGCACCTGCAACACTGGTCTCATCTCAACACCTGGTGTCATGATTTATCCTTCTTTATTCATAAAGACTAGTAAATCCCATCTTATTGCTGTTTGGTTGATGATATAGCAGTCAAGTGACCATAAACAGCAGGATGTATTTCTGGCATAATATAACTCAATCAGAATGCTTATTGCATCTTTAAAGTGGCAGGTTTACTGGAAAAAGATTTAATTCCTGTGTTTAAAACTGAGATGCAAGAGATTTAAGGATCCATAAGTTTCAGATGTTTTTGCCGTATTTTTACATGAAGTGTTAAAAGCATAGTTCTAGAACTCATATATATTTTATGTGGAGATTCTTATTGTTGATGTGCAGGTTGCTTGAAAGTGAGTCCTGTTATATTCAGTGGATTGTGAATGAATAACTCTGTTCCTAAAAACCTTTGTTAATGTATAGCTTCATAACATTTCCAAGTATTTAGGTACTTCTTAAAGTTGCTTTGCTTCCATGTTAGTCTCTACAAACATACATACCTCTTATTACTATGACTCCAACAAGTAAATGTAGAGTCCCGCAGACCACCCTTTCCTGAGTCCCCCTCCTATGCCTCTTTCCACCAAAACATTTCCACATAAAGGCAGCTGCAAAACAAACTTTTTTTCTAAAGCAGCTCGGGAGTAAAATTCTTTTTATTTGCCTTCTAGACACGAAGATCGATTGAGAAGTTATTAGAATGGGAAAACAATAGATTATACCACAAGGTGAGTGCCGCAGGGAGCAGCTTCGTACTGCTGGGGCTAGAGTTGCACAGTATGGAAACAGATGCTTTTGTTGAACGCAAAATATGAAAGGTGGACAAATGGGGTAGTCTCAGCACTGGCAATAAAATATAGCTCATTTTTCTTCTTCCCCTTTCTCCCCGTTGTCTAGCTGTGCTTGCATTGGAGGCTAAGCAAAAGGAAATGTGAATCGAATAACATGATGGAATATGTAAGTTAAAGGGCTGTTTTGTGCGTTTCTCTATTAAATGATCATTTATTTTGCTTCTGATCTTATTCTTTCCATGATTATTAATCAGCAAAGGTGTCAGGAGGCTTAATCGCCTGAGTGGCAAGGATTTTCTACGGTTCACAGATGTATGGTTTCATGCACAGGGCTGATTTATAAAGTTATGAATGACTTGAAAACAAGGCTTCACTGTGTCCTTGAAAAAAATAATAAATTAATTGCCAAGCTAAAATGGCTTGCACATGTGCTGATGGAGTGTGAAATTTTCAAATGCTGTATAAAAAGAATAACTGCAACTTTGGTTACGCAGCGAATTAGACGTGGGCTGTTTTATATAATGCTAATCAAGTCTTGGCGTATGGAAAAGACCTTTCAACTGAGCGGTTGGAGCTTAGGAACTCTAAAGACTTTGTAGATTTTAACTGCTCTCATACCTCAGCAGCCCTGAAAGTACTGGCTTCACTCTAATGTTTTAAAAGCCTTAATTGTAGGAAAGGAAGTTTAGGTCTTCCTGCTTCTGAAGCAGAACTTTGCATATTTTTATGAAGACTTTTGAAGATGCACAGGTTCTTCCTTTTGCAGTCTTTGTAATCTGAATCATTTTGCTTTATTGTCCTTTGTATTTTTCTGGGGTGCACAGGGGAAGTGACTGTCACTTAAAATCAGTCTTGTTTGCTTTCTAACAAATATACTATTGCAAAATATATCAGCATTATGAAAATTTAAGATATAAGCAGGGGTTAACAAATTAAGACTAACCCACAGAAGTATCTTCCTCTAGCTATTTCTAACACATCCATGCCTTTTAATTATATATCTTGTCTATTATTTAACACAATGCACGCATTATAGACAGTATGTTAGAAGATTGATTTAAAACAGTGCTTAAATAGTTACAAATTATCTTAAAATCATCTTTTCTGTTAGCACTGAAAAAAGAGGAAATACTAAGGCCTATATCTAGCCTAAAACATAAAAGACTGCCTAAAATGCCCTTTTTACAGAGTAGCTCTATTCAACAAACTGTTTCTTTTTAACATCTATTATACTTAACATGTTAATTTATGATCATCTATTATAGCGAACATGTTAATTTATGATTGCAGACACATGATAACTTTGCAATAATTGAAGGCAAGAAAAGAATTTTTGGCACTGGTTTTTAAGATTGGCTATGTAAAGAATTCAGCACTTTATTTTAATAATTACTTCAAGCTTCTGGCCTTTCTAGACTTTTTGCATGCTCATATTGAGAGATACTGTGATTAAAATTACCATTTTCCAGTAAGGTGTTCAGAGGGTAATCAGTTAATATTATAACCTTTATGTCCATTGTAATAGTATAAAGCATACAACAAATTCCAGGTCAGTTTAGAAAGCAGCTGTGCAGAACTTCAGATAGGAAGGGGAGGAGGGTGCTTTGGGACACCTGATGGCAGCTCCCTCAAACCACATATTTGCACAGGATCATGCTGCAGTGGTGGAGGCAGCCACTTGATCCTGGGAAAAGTTGCAGCTGCTTTAAGCAGTTGCTGATAGGTATTATGAGAGCGCTACTATGTGCTTCAAACTGCCATTTTCTCTTTGAATGTGAAATGCTACATAGCTTTAGTATTTACTTTTGCATTTAAAAAAATGTATAGTGAATGGCACAAGTCATTAATTGTTATATTTGCATAATTTAGACTGCACATTTACCATGCATACTTACCTGGTGGTCGTGTATATTTGTACCCCAAATGGCAAAAGGAGTCCTGACTGTAGTGACTGTAGTGGGACCTGTTTCTATGTAACTTCTGATTCAATAGATCACTTGAGATCACCTACAAATTTCTGCAACTTCCCATGTCATACAGTTGATTTGTAATACTTATGCAAATTATTTTCAGATATAAAAATGATGTGCAGAAGTTGAAATATTTCAACTTAACATTAATCTTTGACAGTATCTTGAAGTATAGTAAATATTCTAATCAGACAAGAGACTTACAAGAGCATGTTTGTGGCAAGAACAATAGGACAAGCATTCCATGATGTTTTGTAGTCTTCCATAATACTCTGTAGTTTCCAGAAACTTGTACTTTCTCACTTGAGAGATAAAATACACTGAAAGAAATAGATCACTTGGCCTCTTTAGGAAGACTGAATGGCCTGTTAGACATAAATATTGTTGTCTTAACAATTAAAATTAATTTTGCATTATGGTTTAAACTTTTCTTTGTACATTGTAGAACAAAATTGCCTATATCTGATGGCATACGTTTTAATAATGCAACCCTTAATGCAATCTAAGTTGCAGGTATAATATTTCCTGCCTTCCCATCAAGATAATTCTGCAAACTGAATTTTTTTTTAGATTAATTGCCTCTCCCCCTGCTATGAATAACTTACTACTGGTAACCAGCAGATTTTAAAGACCAGTGGAAAAGAGAAGGCAGGAGTGAAGTTGAAAATATTGATGAAAGCTGTTGAAATTGAAGTTACTTTAAGCTGAATGGTAATAGATTTGATATTGGAGCCACTTTCCTTCATCTTAGTTTCTCTTTAGAATTAATTGCCCTGAAATGGTCAGTAGCATTTGGGCAAGGAGAGACCTGCATTTAGGCATTGTGCATATACACACAGCCTGCATTTTCTGTCTAAGGAGGCCCTATCCTGTCAAGCATTTTGACTGCCTTCATGAGTGTGCCTTGTTAGGACCCTGGCCAAACTTGTTTAGAAATGATAAAGGGTGTAGGCACATCTAGTAAGGTGTTTTGTTTTGTTTTGTTTTGTTTTGTTTTGTTTTTGCTGTCTTTGACATTCCTTCCAGGCATAGAAAAGTTTTCTCACATAGCATCAGGGCATTGCTGTTTGAAGAATACAAACCCGAATTCTTTTTGGCCATGGAGATTAGCCACATCTTTCTTTGGATCAAGCCCTACACTGATATTTTTGTATAACTATCCATGTGTGTTTTTATCTGAGTAAAACCGATGAACCAAGCAATCAGTTTTCTGAGAAATGCATGTACATTTAGTGTGTGTTGTTCATTAGTGTGGTTGCAAGGAACAGGGCAACTATTTCTGAATGTCCAGTCAGGCTTGGAACGTATGTTTCTCAGTCTTTAGCCACATGTATCCAGGGAGTTCACAAATTTAAGATTGCCATTATTTCAGCTTTCCATTGGACACTGGAGAAAGGAAAAACATTTCACCTGTCATAAGCAACCAGTGGGAGGGGGTCACAGTTGCCAAGTGGGCAGCTGGCGCCAATAGTTGGGTAGCAAAGCTCACGTATGGTATGCATGAGTCCCAGGTTCCTTCCTCCTATTTCCAGTTAAAAGGATCACATTGGAAATGATGTGTAAGATATATTCCAGTGGCCTTGGAGAGATGCTCTCCAGCTGAAAAAATGCTGGGATAGTTAAATAAATTGAGAGCCAGTCTGGTGTAGTGGTTAAGGCATCAGGCTAGAAACTGGGAGAGTGCCTTTTAGTCCTGTCTTAGGCACAAAGCCAGCTAGGTGACCTTGAGCAAATCATTCTCTCTCAGCCCTAGGAAGGAGGCAAGGGCAATCCACTTCTGAAATCTTGCGAAGAAAATTGCAGGGACTTGTCCAGGCAGTCACCAGAAGTCAACACTGACTCACAGGCACTACACACACACACACACACACACAAAAAGTTAAACAAATAGACTAACTTAGGAAAAAGTAACTCTTCCTGACCACATATATGTCATTTGCCTATGTATAATGGCAAACGTGTTTTTAAATTGGGAGGAATTTCAAAAACAACTGCCTGTGTGGCATAAGGGAGCAGAATTTAAAGCAAATTAAAAGCTCTCTTGGCTTCTCCTAAAGTTATTTGGATTCTAGCCATGAGTTATTCCCTTGTCATGCTGAAAGCTTTTGCTGAGGAACTTTGAAATTAATGATGCTGTCAATAATTAATTATTTTTCTTTCTGTTTTAACAGGTCATTCTTATAGAATTTTTACCAAAGACACCAATTTTCCAACCCGATTAGCATTTGCTTTACATAGAGACTTCCTGAGTATGTTTTATTTCCAATGGTGCCTTGCTTGGTGCTCTCCTCGTGATGATACAGAGTTGGTTCTACAGAATCTTGTGGTGTTCTTCATTCTTTTCTCTTTCTGTTTTTTTTTTTTAACAGCATGTTCAAAGTGCATTTTTGTCAAATTTGGCAGATAACATTTTGGTGATTTAAATTATTACCTTCCCCTTTTCTGTTAACAGACCCTGGTTTTCAAAGTCTTGAGGTATGGGTATATGTGTGGGTATGTGTTTGAATATGCACACACAGACATACATACATGTGTGTGTTTCTGTATGTATATATACATATATAGCTATTATATACAAATGAAAATAGCTATAAGTATTCTAACCCCAAGATAGACATGTGAAAATTGGCAATCATTTTAACCTATGCACTCGCATCTTGTCTAAATCTCACCATATTTGGCTGGTGAAAATTATATCAGATTTTTTTTTTCCTCCTCCTCTCTGGGATATAAAATCAGCCTCTTCTGAGCCACAAGCAGTATTCCTTCAAAGCCCTAACATCCATTCCCTTTCCACCTTTTCCTGTTCTGTGAAGAAATCCTGTCTGCTCAGAAAATGTTCCTCCTCCAGAAACTTGAACATGGATTGCTGTTTCTCCACTAGAAGACTCAGTGGCAGATTTGCAGGTGTCCAATAGCTAATCCTGGTCAGGATTGACAAATTGACTAGTATTTCCTAAGAGGGCTGGTGTGCGTATAACAGTGGATAATCTTCCTGTGGCTAAGAGATTTGAAGTGGCCAAATAGAACCTAGGATTTTGCAATCTACTCCTAATCTCTTAATCATGGTGAAAAAATAAAGTGATATTTTGTTTATACCAACTCCATATGTGTTTGTGTGGGTGCTTGTGAGAGGGGGGAGTGAGTGAATATGTGTATGTTGGTGTGCAAGCCAGCATGTATTGTGATTCATGCCATGTAACAGCTTTCCTGTTCTTATTGTTTACCAGATTGAATAGTACACAAGGATGCAAGATGGGAAGAAATATATTTGTTAATATTTCAGTAGGTTGAGTTATTGAATGTTACAGTGTTTGGCTCCAACCCATAGAAAGCTGTATTTAAATCCCATTAAAATCATTGGGTCTAGTTAATTGTTGCTAATGCTATTAAGTTCTATTTATTTCATTAGGACTTAAGTGCAACTAACATTCTTCTTTCTTTATTTTGAAGCTTTCCCTTGGGTTGGGGCCTTTGTGTGTAAAACATTAACAGCATTGTACCAGAAGCTAGCGATGTGTTGTTAATGTCTTGATTTTTACATCTGTATATCAGATGGATGAATTTAAAAATGGTTATTTGAATTAATAGTTTACTGAATGTCTGGAGTAAATACTTACTGCATTCTAGCTTCTAAATTTTATGTTTACATGGTTAGCTTTCTGTTTCATTTTTATTGTTTGCACAAGGAAATATTTTAAAAATATGAATATGTAATAATACGCTTTGATCAGGCCAGTTTTTAGTTTCTTGGCTGTGCATATCTTTATGTATTATGTTTAATGCCTGTTGAATGCAGTTATTTCTGAAACATTTGTTTCTGGATTTTAATGTAGATGAACTATAACATATTTTAAGGGCCTGTTCTTCATGTAGCAGAGCAATAATGTGAATAGCCAACAAATACAGTTTGCATAATATTTGTATTAATGAAATGTTTATCCCACTACAAGAATATCAGTTTTTTCCATTTAAATATGTGTTTTGCTTTACTGTCATATACAGATATGTTTATTGTGTATTTGCCAATGTTTGCTATTCATAGCAGATTGCTAATATATTTTGAATATATTTTGCGTCAATTTAAAGCTCTGTTTACATATCACACCATATAGTGGCTCCAGTATGTACTTTTATTGGTTAATCTTGTCATGATTCAGCCAGAGTCTGGCATTTTTGAATCTCACTGAGTTCAACGGGAGAGAGGTGAAGCATATACTTAGCACTTCTCTATTACTGAAGACAATACAACTGGCTTTGATTGGATGACATGCATTGTTCTTTGCTTGAAATATGTATCTAGATTCTTTTAAAAATAGGCTAGGCTCCCTTATTACTTTAAGCCATAATATGGTTTGCTTGTTTTGGGCTGAGTGTGTTGTGTGAATGAAATCATGGTTTGTTTTAGGGCATTAAACTATAGCTTGAAACCATGGTTTGTTGTTGGCTTACTGACTGCAACTGTCGTTTAGTGTGGAAAATGAACAGATATGTATGGTTGGATTGTTTCCTGATTCATTTTTGATTTGATTCAGTACCCCACTGAAGCCTTTAACCTTTAACCAGGCCTCAGAAGCAAGAGTAGCCAAAAAGAAGGAAAACAAATCAAAATTGCCCAAAAAGCTAAAATTACTTTGCTCATCTGTAAAACTGATGCTAGCTTGGTTAAGAAATCATAGTAAGATCATCCCATGGTTGGTTACAATACATAAATGCAGCCTATGAAAGAGCTTTAAAATATGTATATAGTTTTAGTCAAGTATTCCAAAATTATTTCCTATCATTCGTGATCTGCTTTTCTCTTAACAAAAGAAACTATAAAGCATTTTTCTCCTTCTGTGAAAGTTCCATAATGTCTTAGAAAATAAATATTTATAATAAAGACTTGGGCCGTTCTCCAACACAGTGCACTTATTGATTTGAATGGGCTTAATTGTGCCTATATCTGTGTTGGCGTGGAATCTTAAGATAAGAACACAAGATGTAAAATTCACTGCTGTTCCTAAATGGAGAGAAAATTGCTGATAACCCGTAGCTTCTTAGGTTTCTCTCTTCACTTCTGTGAAGGTAGGACCTCTTTCCAAGGATCTCATTTGCATTGTTTAGTTTTCCTGGGGAAAAGAAATGGGTAACTTTTTGCATGTGCAAGAGCTTGGCCTGCATGCTAGAGCTCCTGTATATGCATATAACTGCTGAATAGATTGAATGTTTGATTCATTATATTAGAAAACTTGGCTTATAAGTATTTTATTCTTCAAAGTTTTTGTCAATCAGAACTTTACATGGACAGTTTTACAACCTACTTGGAATAGTGTAGATGTTTTTGTAATCAAGCCTGCATATAATGCTCATTAGGGCTACAAAGACACCAATGAAATGAGGATTACTTCAATATTAACTTTCCCTCTTAGTTAAGTGTTGTGTCTGAACTAATGCAGGTAATCTGTTGGATGGTGGTGCAGCCCCATAGCTACTCCTGTGAGTGATCTATTTGTTGAGCTGACTATGCTGAGAGGAAGGGGTTAGCATGACATGGCAATTCCTTCTCTAAGTCAAAAGTCATACACAGAATTGCGGACACTGTAGGAGGAGAGCCATGTTAGTCTATGGTGGCAAAAAGTCAGGAATCTGGTCATACTTTTTCCACCTAACAAGTTTTATTAAAAGGCATTAGCTTTCATGAGCTGGAGCTCATTTTGCAGATGCATAGAGTCACTAGAGTGATGCAGGATTTAAATTGGGTGAGGTGATGTTGTGAAAGATCTTGCCTTTTAAAACTGCTCTCATAAATAGACCTTTTGCATAACAGTGATTTACCTGAATCTAGAAACTGAGGTTGGCTAATCACCCTCTAAATCCATGGATACCTTTGGCTAGACTCATATCTGTTTATATAACTGTGTTAATTCAGCAATCTATTTAATAACCATGTCCACTCATTTGACTTGGGTTGCTTTATATACATTTACCACCATATCTTTTCTGCATACTAGATTTTTAAGAAGATCTGGGGTGGTGGGCTGGGTTGGATTTACTTGAGTTACAAGCACAAAACTAAGAAATTGCTAATTTATTCATGCATGTCTGTGTAATAGATAACAGATTTACATCCCACATGGCAGTGGCAACATGTATAGTAAAGCTGATAATAAAAATGTTGAAGTATGAAGAGTAATGAGGCAAGGAAAAGCATAATATTATTGTTGTTGTTGCATCCACAGAGAGAATTTTCAGAGAGAATTCACATTTATTCAGTTATGAGTGTAACAGAATTTACAGTTGGTCCTCAAAACATTACTTTGCATTTGCATAAAATAATCCTATGATTACATGCCTCTAGATATGCAAATGACTTGATGTTCTCCCTGTTCGTATATAATTCTCCTCTGAACCAGATGTACTTGAACGTACTAACAGTGGCAAGAAACCCACCCTAACCACTAAGTACTTGTCAGTGCCCTTGTTTTTGTGGTATCAGACATGTAGCAAAAAGTGTTTCACTGGATCCTTGATGGGCCAGTATATGGGGCTGATTTTTTTTTTCATCCTAAACTGAAACTATTTTATAATTGTGCAGGTCTACATTTAGAAGCGTGTGTTCTTTATGAAATTATCAAAAACGTTTAAGGCTATATGTACCAAGGTTAATCTTACTAAAGAGTAAGCAGTCCCGAACACGTTTAGTAAGCATAAGATTGTAATGTAACCCTAACTTTTTGGACAGCTAATAAATAAAATCAGAACCTCTTATGAGGATTAAGAAAATACAATTCTGCCTAATCAAGCATTTGTATGTGTGTGCATGCATGTGTATATGTGTATTTCCTTAAGAATATTCTTCACTAACTGATGATTCAGTCCAGAGTCTGAATGCCACTCTACATCACACAATATATGTTATAGAGACCTACAAATAAAAAGTTGATAAAATGCTACATAAACAAATAGATGAACAAATGTTTACATTAGACACATGATCTGCTTTTAGTTTTAAAAAATTATAACCCTGTCCATCTTTCCAGATTAATTTTAAATGCTATCTAGATTGTTCCTCTTAGGAGATCTAAGAGCAAGTTCTGCTAAAAAATATGTTAAGTCTTGAATAAAATTGCCTTGTCTATATAAAGGAGATAGCAAATAACATTTTTTAAAAATTTGGAGTAATTCTTCATTTCTGGGTGTCATGGCATTTAGCAGCATTTGGTAATTTTGAATTTAGCCATGTGTTTCAATTGTATCTTTAAGCAAAAATATAGCTTACTTTTTAAAAACTCAACTATGCTGACAAAATGTCCTTTGAAGACATGTAAAAAGCTTAA